TATTGAATCTTCAACAAATCGTAATCTGCCACAACTTGGCCAAAATATACGCGATCACTTGAAAAGTCAATATCTCAAGAAAGGAACATTCTTTTTAGCTGAAAATTTCAGGATATTCTAAGGACCATTAGACCTATCTATGGGCGAACTATCAAGTCGAAATTCCCTATTTTGAATTTTTCGTAAATGCCTGAAAATGGGTCGAAAATTCAATAAAACGACCATAACTTTTGAAGGAAGAACATCGGGGAAAAATCCCTTTAGGCTTTTTACTACCTCAATATACTCAATTAAATGAGATACGAACGAATCAAAACGGAGGTGTCATCTGAAAAGGTTCCCTCGTTAGTGGTACAGAAGATTTAGCTTGAAAGAAACTTTTTTCTTAATTATCTCGCCAAGTTAAGAGATATACGTGTTTCTCACTAAGGAGTTTAAGCATTACTTAGTTTATATACGTACTTAATCTCAACAAGAAACTTATATTCATAAAATTGAAAATAATTTATAAAATTTAATTAAATTGGATATGGTTCGTAAAAAATCAGTTTCATCAAAAATTAAGACACGAAAAGAAGCCTATCAATGGCGACAACAAATTCATTCAAATGTTAGTCATTCATGGCGCACTTTAATTCTAACCATGAAAGCTGTTAACAAATTTTTAGGTTTCAGGCATAATAATGCAGTTGCTGCGTGCGTATCAAGAAGGTTTGGCATAGTAGAACCAGATCTAATTTATTCAGGTTGTGTTAATTTTTGTAATAATATAGAGATACAATCTAAGTTTTCAAATCTATTCAAAATCAAAAGGCAATGTGATGATCTAGTAATCATCCAAAATACTATTAAAAAAATTGTATCAAAAGTGTGTCGCCTAGATTATGAACGAAAGAGACAAATACAGAATCGAAAGCGAAAACTAACATCAAATTGTTTTATGAATGAAGACTCATCCATTGTAAAACACAGACGACAGAGAATTTGGTCAAAAAACAAATATTCTCAGAACTGTGCATTTCGAGAAGAAAAAAAAACAAAGTGCAATAAAATACTTTCGAGATCCTTATCAAAATAATAATGATTTTCGTAAACAACAAAAAGAACGTCTAAAAGAACATATTTTATTGAAATATCATAATAACACAAAATTTCGTATTAAAAATAATACTCAGGCAAGCCGTCGAATTTTAAATAAATATCATAATAATATAATGTTTCGTAATCAAATCAAAACAAAATCAAAGGCTCACATTTTAAATAAATATCATAACAATTCAGATTTTCGTGATGAATATAAAGCATGTATGACAATTCAAGCTTTGAACAAGTATAAATCCAATAAATTAATACGATTGAAAAAAATTGAACGGACATTGAATTGGTATCGAACTAATAATACATTGATGAGACAAAATCAAAGACGAATTTATAATCAACATAGCCGTATTATAAAAAAAATATATTGTTATTGAAAGTCATAAACGTGCAGCTAAACATAGAGATTTATACATGAAAAACTTGAACAGATTTCGAAAAACAATTCGAGAAGGACCTGATTATATTTGTATATCATGTCGGTTAGCACTTTTCCATAATCAGGTGATACCTTTTATTAAAGAAAAATACATAAAAGAAAACATGCCACATGAAATAAAGAAAAATATTCGATCTTACTTTAAGTGTGCATCGTCAACAGAAAAAAAGTGGATTTGTAAATCATGTTCAGATAAAATAAAAAAACGAAAAATGTCAAGTCGCGCACTAGCGAATAAATTGAAAGTCTATGAAGTTCCATCCGAATTAAAAAAATTGAATAATCTAGAAAAGCATATAATTGCTATACGATTACCATTTATGAAAATTGTGAATTTAACATCAGGTAAAGTATGAAGTCGATTAGCACAAAAAGGTACTAAAGGACCACTTCATTGTGTACCATCAGATGTACAAGATACAGTAACCATCTTACCTCGTCCAGTTGATAAATCCACGATGGTTCGATTGCAATTGAAACGACGATTAAAGTATAAAGTTGTGTGGGAAGAACAATTAATAAATCTAAATGATGTAACAGATGCATTATTTGTCTTAACTAAGATGCATCCAGCCTATAAAAATATTAAGATAAATGAAATTCATGAAAATTATCTTACATAGGATCAAGAAAAAAATGACGAAAATAACAATGAAGAAATAGTTGAATCAATGGATGTTGACAACATTGAAGAAGAAAATTTAATTGAAAGAACAGAAATATCTAATGAAAACCACTTGAAACCATTAGCTTTAGGTGACATTGATAGTACTCTTGATAATGATGAAGAAAATAGATGAAGATAATAACGATATTCGTACTAAATATAATATTGGTACAGATTCATGTACTCAACCATGCGATTTTAATGATTTTTTAGTGTTTGATAAAGAACCATGTGCAGCAGCAGCAGCAGAAAAAAATAAATTAAGTTCGTTGTTAACAGACAAAACAATTGAAGCACTAGCCTTTCCTCATTTTTTTCCAGATGGCAAAGGATCATTTGATGAAGATCGTGGATCAAATCTTAAATGGAAAGAATATTGTAAAGCACGTCTATTTTCGTCAGATTCTCGGTTTGCTGCCGATTCAAGCTATATCTTTTTTCTACAATACTTAGGCGACTTGAAACAAGTCTATTCCGGAATCAATGTTGCTTTTCGGAAAAAGTTACCAATGAATGCAAAACAAAGTTTAGATGAAATGCAAATGAAATTTTTAATGAATAAAGATATGATATATCGCCATTTGCAATGTGTTCGAGGTAGTCCACAGTATTGGCATAAACGTTTAAAAGATCTATTCGGAATGACACGTCAGTTAGGTTTTCCAACGTTTTTTCTTACATTATCATGTGCTGATCTACGTTGGAAAGAATTCGTTGATACTTTTGTACGTCATACTGGAGCTCCAATAAAGGAATCATATACATTTGAAGAAAAAACAAAACTTTTACGTGCGAATCCTGGCTAGCTGCACGTTTATTTGAAAAACGATTTAATTCATTTATGAATTTATTTATTAAAGGTGGAGCGCCGTGTCTAGGCATTGTACAAGACTGGTTTGCTCGTATAGAAATGCAATTACGAGGTTGACCACATTCACACATGCCAATTTGGGTAAAAGGTGCACCTGTTTACATTGGATTACAAACCGATGAAAAGACTCGTGAAGAAATTATTAAATTTTGTGACAAATATATTACAACACGCTTCCTTCATTAGATGAAGATGCCGAGTTACATAATATTATCAAAGAAGTACAAACTCATTCTCGTAATCATTCAAAAGCTTGTTTAAAATATCATAAAACTTTGTGTCGATTTGGATTTCCACGGCCTGTCTCTCGACGGACATTCATATGTGAACCAATGAAAGTTGATCTGATAATGATAAGCAACATACAAAAAAAGTAAAAGAAATTCTTACTGAAATGAATGCAACAATGAATGCATTAGAACAAGAGAAAATGTTGTCATGGTCTGATTTTGATAATCTTCTCATTAAGTATAATTCGACCTATGACGACTATGAATGTGCACTTCGAGTAGTTCATACTAGAACAATCATGATTCATAAAAGAGAACCTAATGCACGATGGGTGAATCAATATAATGAAGAATTATTGAGAGCATGGGATGCTAATATGGATATTCAACTTGTACTTGATCCATATGCATGCGCAAAATATCTGATGTCATATTACAACACAGCCAGAACGAGAAATGAGTTTATTACTAGAAACAACTCATAAAGAATGTCATGCAGGAAATATGTCAGTACGTGAAGAAATGAAAAAGTTAACAGGTACATTTATTAATTATCGACAAGTTAGTGTACAGGAGGCTATTTATCGTGCTACTAAAATGCCACTTACATATTCAAGTCGAGGTTTTGTTTTTGTACCGGCACATTCAAATAGTTGTAAAGGAGGGAGGCGGATATGGCGATTTTCTCGCCCCCAATATTATAGTATGAAAATCATATATTCGTAATCAGCAGCAGATTCTGAACAAAACTGTGTATTTTATTTTCTCGAAAAAGCAGTTTTTTTTATTTTTTTCTCCCTATGACCCCAGGAACGTCGAAAAAAAATTTGCCTCATATTTCTATGAAAGATATACTATTTGATTCAGAATTTTGTGCTGATCACAAATATCTGGTCGAAAATGGAAAAAAATCGAATCTTGGTGAGAAAATTTTGAATTTCTGTACAGATGGCGCTAGTTACTTGATTGGAATTTATGTTGTTTTTGGCGCGCTATGTTAACTTTGGAGACACTGAAAACTGGCTAGATATACTTAAATCATATAAGCTTATAGAATATCGTATTTGAAATACTCAGAATGTCGTATTTTATTGTGAAAAGTCGGATTGAAATCAAGAACCAATGGAAAATCATATGACTTTTTTATTTAAATTTTCTCTATCGGTCTTAGTAAATGAGGTAACAATCTGAAAATTATATCACATATAGTGTTTTGAATACCCCCCCCCCCATATTAGAAGCCCCCAGGGGCTTCTAAACTGCCTACTATAAAAAATTTTCAAAGGGGGCTTCTATTATAGAGGGCTTCTAATATGACTTTTATGTAACATTTTCTGAAAAAAACATAAGAAAGTTGTTGTTTCAAATATCTTGACTCTTTATTTAGAATAAGTTCAATTAATCATACAAAATCTTATTGCCATAAATATAGATACAAAAAAAAAGTGCTTGAATAAGTTATAAATTGCAAGGAAAAAAGAAGTTTTAATTTAATTTAATTCGACTACTTTTTCCAAAAATGAGTTAATTTTAATTGTTTATTTTTCTGTTGTGATAACTTTTTGTCCTGATCTTCAGCTATTTTTGCTTGAATTTCAATTTGTTGTTGTTCTTCATCATCGTCTTCAGGTTCATCAATATGTATTAATGATGAATCAACTGTAGCTGGATCGAATGTATAATTCGGAAGAGTTCTATTCAGAAAACTTAGAGATGTCTTACCTTGGAAATGAACCATTCATTATATTTGTTCATCGTTGGAATATTGATAACGCCTTCCGGAGTGAAGAACACTTTGACATCATTAGCATATTGTTTTTGTTCATCAGGCGAAATGTGACCCTTCCCTTTGAATAATAAAACAGGACCAACACGTTGATCTTCACCTGAGATTGTAAGAATAACCGTGCAAAACCTCTGAATGGAGAAACAAAATAAATTAACAAATAGAATAATTCTTTGTATAGCTCCTCATAAAAGCAAAACTGATCTGTCTACCAATATCTTCTAAAATTCAACGAAGACTTGTGGTTATATTCAATCGTTCTTCTTAAGAAATATGTAGATTTGATAACGCAAACTTTAACTAGGTCTGAAGCCTGTCAAGTCAGCGTTTTATAGATCTACGAAAATTCATCTGCAAGTTGTATACGAAAACTCACAACGAATGAACAAGTTAAATTTGTTGTGTTGTAGAAAAAGAAAAGTACTCA